GAGGGTGAAAAATATATGTATAAACTAGCCAAACAAAGAGAAAAGAAAAGTAAAGATTTAACTCAAGTAAAGTGTGTTAAAGATGAAAATCAAAAAGTACTTTTCTTAGAAAAATATATTCAACATAGGTGGGTGAGTTACTTTGATAAACTTTTTAACGAAGTTTATGAAAATATGATCGACCTTAGTGATCTGAATATCGTGAATAATAATAAAACGTTCCTTAGTGATCTTAGTATCATTAATAATAATAAATTTTTTCATTTTTACCGTCGCATTAGTAAAAAAAGAAGATGAGGAGGCTTTAAAGAAAACCAAGGGTGGAAAGTCTGTAGGACCTGATGATATCCCAATTGAAGTATGAAAATATTTAGGAGATTTGACAGTTTCTTGGCTTACTAAACTTTTTTATTTTATTTTAAAAACTAAAAGGTTGCCTGAGAAGTGGAGGAAGAATATTGTTGTCCCCATTTTTAAGAATAAAGGGGATGCACTAGAGTGTGCAAATTATAGAGGGATTAAGTTGATGTGTCATACTTTAAAATTATGGGAGAGGGTAATTGAACATAGTTTAAAATGTATTACAAATATTTCTCATATACATTTTTTGAGAGGTTTGATGGAGAAGCTCAAAGATGATAAGGAGAATCTATATTTAACTTTTATTGATTTAGAAAAAGCTTTCGTTAAGGTTCCGAGAGATATCCTTTGTAGAGTTCTTGAGAAGAAAGGTGTTGATATGACTTATATTCAAGTCATTAGAGATATGTAGACTAGAGCTGTTACTTGTGTTTGAATTGAAGGAGGATTGACCAAATATTTTCCTATTTCTATTGAATTACATCAGAGATCGACTTTAAGCCCATTCCTTTTTGCTTTAGTTTTGGATGGTTTTGCTGGACATTTATAGGAGGATGTACCTTGGTGTATGCTTTTTGTTGATGATATCCTTCTCGTGGATAAGACGAGAGAAAAAGTCCGGGGAAAACTTGAATTATGGAGGTCTACATTAGAGTCCAAAGGCCTTCGTTTAAGTAGAACTAAAACTGAATACATGTAATATAATTTTAGTAGTAATAGCTCTAGTGACAGAAGTGTGACTTTGGGTGATCAAATTGTTAAAAGGTGTGAACGATTTAGATATCTTGGGTCTGTTGTTCAAAGCGATGGTGATATAGATGGGGATGTTAAT